CTCAGCACTTTTCCAGCCTAAGTTCTAATGGATGAGAGATGCCTGAGTGAAGAGCGGGGTTCCATGGTGCCCCAGGAAAGGCCCTGGTGGGAGAGCCATGTGTGTCCCAGCGCAGGGCACTGCTCAGCACCAAGCATCCTTTCTAAAAACAAATGAATTCTAATGAAGACCCAATCTCAGAGGCAGGCCTGGTCTCCTCAGCGATAAGAGCATTATGGAAATCCATGTACTTCATCGAGGCCTCACGCTGGCCGGGGCAAAACTACTCTGCCCAGTTAGCAAGTTCCAAAACAGACCAAGAGAAACAAAACCACAGAAATGGTATCTTTTTGAATTATCTGGACTCGGCTGAGCAGAGATGAAACACTCCTGCTGCTACTCGGTGTCTGGTTTAACCTAACCTACCATGTTTCCCTGAAAATAAGACATCCTCCGAAAATAAGACCTACTTACAGGTTTCCTTCTGAGTGAAATATAAGGCGTCCCCCCGAAAATACCCACCCCCCAGGCTAAACATGAGAGATTTGGTCCACTGATTCTGAAAGAAATGGAGTCACAAGAAATTCACCAGGAAATTCAGGAATTGGATTGTTATGATGATGTTCCAGAAGATGATGACATGATTGTCATTGAATAAATGAGTAAATTCTTGATACTGTAGGATTCACAGTTTGTCTGGTTTGTCTTGACAACTACCGTACTACCGTACCATATACGGGTAATACATTTCCTTTATTTTCATTTAACAATAAATATGTACCGTATTCTTCTTCATGGAAAAATAAGACATCCCCTGAAAATAAGACCTAGCGCATCTTTGGGAGCAAAAATTAATATAAGACACTGTCTTATTTTCGGGGAAACAGGGTAGCAAGAAAACATTATTTGGCTTAATCGAGACAGGAAGCTTTTCCCCTTGGACATCAACACTTGTGATTTGAGCAACAGGATAAGTAACGGGAAAGCACAGTATGGAGATCGGGGATGTATGTCATAAACCTCGAAGGTGGTTTGCCATCAAGACCCGTCACACCACTACCAGAAGCCACGGAGCCAAACACTCTTTTTTCCGGCCTGTCTCGGAGGCAGCATGGGGAAGCAGTGCAACCCAGCCATCCTGGGTTTAAATCTCCAATAAGCTGGGACCTGAAGCAAATTGCTTATCTCTCTGAGCCTCATTACTAAAAATAATGCCCTTGAAGACTATTTCAAGATGTGGTAACAGGATCTCAATAAGTAAAGTAAATGAAAAAACACAGAAATCAATAAGTAGCTTTGCTGTTAAGGGCCTATTTCTTCAGCTGCATTGATAACTACATGGAAATTTATTTTATCCTTTACACCATTTTGTATGTCTGCCCTATTTCCTAATGAAAAAGATTTAAAGTGAGTGTGTGTCTAATGCCAGGAAGGTAATACACCAAAACGTAGCTATTGCTTCATTACGGGTTTATTGAATTCTATTGTTCAAAGTTTCCAAATTTTCTGCCAAGAACATATATTCCTTTTTGTCTTTTACATTATTTTTATTATTGGAAACTATTTTTATTCTCCCCGTCCCCACCTCCAAACTCATTTGTTTTTCAGAAAGGATGCTTGGTGCTGAGCAGTGCCCTGCACTGGGACACACCTGGCTCTCCCACCAGGGCCTTTCCCGGGGCACCATGGACCCTGGCTCTTCACTCAGGCGTCTCTCATCCATTAGAACTTAAACTGGAAAAGTGCTGAGGGGGAGGAAATGTCCCTGACATCATCCCACTCACTTCCTCTGACGTGAGAGAGATTTGTAGGCGGCTGCTGGGAGCATTCTCTATTCTGCAAATTGTTCTCAAAAGTATAGGTTGCTCTTTTATTTTTTATTTTTCTGGAACAGTTTCTATTCTATCCTGCCAGGAAGCTGGGGTCTCAGCCAGCAAGCGGATTGGGTAAAGCGATGGGAAAAAATAGAGACCAATTATATCATCACATCCTGTGGGCTCGCCAGTCACAATGCATTTGTCACCAAGTGCTGGGGGTGAAGGGTGGGAGGATGGTTCTGTGGAGATATGTCACTGTGCCTCCAGACCCTTCGAAACCCTTTGAACATGGGGTCTTGGCTGGGCTCCAGGGGCCCACGAAATCACACGTCAATCTGGTAAAGCTTTCTGGAGCCCGGTGCTATTACCAGATTCCCGAAGGAGTCTGTGATCCCCAAACAACGAAGGACCCTGCTCTGTCAGAATAAGCTCTTTCCTTAGCGTATCCACTCCTAGTTGGTCTCTAAGCCCAAGTTCTGTGAGAGGTTGGAGGGCAGTGTAGGAAACGCCAGGCAACTATCAGAATCATCATCTGGGGCTTTAAAAGCAAGCAAGATGTCACTGGGAATGTCACTCGGACACCCTGAGGGGCTCCATGCATACCTTCGATGTTTGTCCATTGATTTTCAGAGAGAGTGGAAGAGAGAGGGAAAGGCAGAGGGAAATACTGATGTGAGAGAAACACTCCTGCATGAGTCTGACCAGGGCCTGGGCTTGGGAGGAGCCTGGAACCAAGGTGTATGCCCTTGACCGGAATCGAACCTGGACCCATCAGTCTGCAGGCCAACGCTCTATCCACTAAGCAAAACTGGCTAAGGATCTATGCATACTTTTTAATTTAAGGGAGAAGATTTCATCTGTGTTACATTTCATGTCACCGATACATTTCTTTAAAAGGGTGCTGAATGCCACATAAACTGGGGGGCTCACTATTTTTAATTTTAAGATTCATCAGCCGATAACTATTTACCAAGAGTTCACTGTGTATGCAGCATTCAGCTGGCGCTCAACAGAATGTTCCCCCAAAGATCCTTCCCCCCATCTAGCAACTTCTTGTTCAAAGTTATCTGGTGAAAGTCTTTCCACTTATTAATGGAATCAAAATCGAGAGTTACTAATAGTACTTTCTCAAACCCTCGCATTCTCCAGTATGAGTCACCCATCGGAACCACCTCTTGCTGCTGCTACTTTCCACGACACATAGAAACAGGCTCAAAGCAACTCTTCGGTCATGCTGTTCGTTAAAGGGACTGTCACTGGTCTGCGTATCCCCACTAAGAAGCCCCTTTGCTCCATCACGGCTGTTTGCATCACCGAAAACTCTGTTGTCAGATCAGAACCCAATAATCCACCATCTATGAAGATTCAAAAAGAAAGCTTTTACCTTCAAAGGCCATTTATTTACCAGATGGTTAATTTATTGGACTCAAATATTTATTGAGACATTGTTGCCTTTATGGCAAAACATTTTCTCAAAGGTGGCCTCACCCCCCCACTTCATTCAATTGAACTCCTCTCTCCCGAGTGCCGGTGAGGTGCCAGGCACTGACCATCAGGACCACTTCCTCAACCTGTCACTTCCTGTCACTTCCACGTGACAAGAACTGTCAGCAAACCTGCAAAACATCGGTTTTCATGCCCTCCAACAGCTTCTGGGATTCCTCCAACTTTTACAATTTTTATAATATTGTGACAATGTCTGGAGGGAACTCTGCCCAGGCTCCAGAATCTGTAAGATTCAGGGAAAAAATGCCAGCACATCAGAAAGGGGTGTGGCCATACTTGAACCCCAAAGTATCAAAAAAGTCGCTTTACTGTAACAAAACATGGTATGAGACGCTTAAAAGGAGAGAAAGAGAAAAATCACAATCTGTAATTGAAAATAGTAATCTTTCACACAAAAGAGTTTAGAGGTTCTTTGATAAAAAGCTACTAGAGACACGTTTTCCTGAAAAATAAATACAGTTGAGGAAAAATGAACAATGAGGCATGATCTTAGAGAGACCTAGATTGAAGTCTTCCCTAAATCAAGACACCTCCCTCCCTGGGTTTCTTTCTTCATTGGCAAAGTGAGCGAACCGGCTAAGGGTGACTTAAATTCTGAAAGCCAAGCGTCTACTAATTGTCACAAAACTTAAAGCATTCAAACATAAAGAAATTGCTGCTGATAAAGGAAGTTCCATAGACTTCAGCTGTCAATAATAAAATTTTCAGTGAGTCAAGTAAAACCCAGAAGCACACCGGTTGTTGTTTTTTCCTGTAGCCATGGCAACCTAGTAAACTGGTCAAACTTCATTAATGATAGCCTAAAGACGGAAACAAACACCTTATAAACATGTGCAAATGCATTAATTAGGTGACAGCTCATGTTCACTCCATCATGGCTGTCGGCATTACAGAAAACTCTGTAGGAACTATCAATAAAAGTAACTAAGAGAGCATTGCTCACTCTGGCAAATAAATGTTGTCAGATGAGAACCCAATAATCCACGTTCTATGAAGGTTCAAAAAGAAAGCGTTTTACCTCTGTCATCACCAGCACTCAACTACCATGCCACTTAAATAGCATTTGCAAACTTCTTTTAAAGAAAACACAGTAAGGCTGATCAATATTAATATTTGGTGGGTGGCTATACGCACTAGATACTGTGCATCATATTCTCACTTTTGTTTTGATTCTCATAAAAATTGTTAGGCTAAGTCCTCTCACCCCCATTTTCCAGATGAGGACTCAGAGGTGAGGAAAGGTGTGACACAGATAGTAAGAATCATAACTTAAACTGCCATCAGCTGAATCCAAAGTCCCTCCCTCCACTGGCTGCTGGATAATTCTGGCCTTTGGGCTGCCAGCTGCCTGTGTTGGGTCAACTCACTATCAACTCCAAAGGGGGACAAACATCTAGTCCCATCCTCTAGAACCAGCTTCCAAAATAGCATGGTGGCCTTTTTCTAGATTCTACCCAGATGCGCTGAGCTCATAACTCATTTTAGGAGAGGAAAGACGAGTGGCGTACAAGCTGGCTTGAAAGTTTAAGTTGGCCACACAGCTTCCTCCGGTGAAATATTTTGTTTTAAAAGAATTTCCTCCCGGGTCACGACTTCCACAGTCAGATCCTCAAGCCATGTGACGTGCCCAGCAGGTTGACAGATAGATGGAGAAGGAGGGGTGTTCCCAGGACAGGCAGTGGGAAATGCTGTACTTACACCAATGTCGAGACTACACAGGCTAACAGCATCTTCATCCTGGGCGCTCTGCTTCCGTTTTCGCTGAAAAACAAACAGTAAAACAAAGTTCAGATGTAAACATGGTTTGTGGCTTTGATTAAGGAAAGGGAAAAAATGCAATCAAGCAGCACATGCAGTCCTTGTCATTTCTAACCTGTTCCCCAAAACTTTTAGCGTACACGGATAGTTCTAAGGAAGTACGGGAAACTATTACACTGCTTTGTGTCGTTATTTGTATTCATGCTGCTAAAATTTGTTTCCCTGTATTTTCCCCCTCTAAATTTCTTCATATATCAAGGTTTAGAAATTTAGACACAAAGTTCAGATTCTGACTCACACACAAAAAAAATCTAGACTGGAGAGAAAATCTAATTCAGTTAAAGATATTCCATTTTTAGAACTGCTTTGTACCAGAGTAATTTAAATCTGTTCTCAACCTCCTCCAGGGTCCTGATGTAACTGCAGAACCAGAATGCTAGAACAACCCTTGTACACCATCTCCAACCTTCCTCTTTTACAGACTGAGATTCAGGAAAGTCACTGCCTGAACTGAGAACTGTAATTCCAATGAACTTATGACCAAAGAAGCCTGCCAGGTTAGATGAAAAAAAAAAAAAATACATTTTCCACTTTATGAAAAGAACAAAAACTCAAATCTTCACATCACAATAAAGGCTCATCCAAGATACACTCACCTCTCTTCTGCATCCCAGCTCAACCAGCCAGGCAAGCATTGCTGGAGGCCCTAATCCGTGACTTGCTAAATCTCCGTCTCCGACTGGACAGAAAGCTACCAACGGGCCCGAATCACTGGCATGAAGTGACAGTGGAGTCGGGAGCCATTAGGAGCCTTCGATCCCCCAAAGAAGTCCACCCCTTTCTCTTCCTCTAGCAGGCCCTAAGCGTGAACACTGGCAGGGACTAGGAAGCTACCAGAGCTATCCTTGTCCATCTTACTGTAAATATCCTAGTAATTTTTCACTTCAATAAAGATTTGTTGTGCACCCACTATGTGCCAGGAGGTGTGCTTGTTCCTGGGAAGGCAAAGATTAGCAGCTATCACGTGGGAGGGACACTTACATGATTAACTCTAATGCAGTAAGATCCAAACAGTCTAGGGAGAGTCACCTCACTTCTCTGAGACACCCGTTCTCAACTCCAATATGGGGGTTCCTAGTCCACTCAAGCAGGGGCATGATTCAGAGACCCAGTGCCAGGAGCCAGGACGCAAAATCAGCCATTCTGCGATGGTGCACGGGAACCTGCATCAGCCAGCTGGCCACGTGGTTCCTGGGAGTCAAATACTCCCCTTTGAGGGAGCCTTGAGAAGATGCTGCTAGCCCCCCCCCCCCTTTTATTTATTTATTTATTTATTTCCCCTATTTTTTTTTAATCAATCTTTATTGTTCATATTATTACAAAGGTTCCTCATTTCTTCCCCCCTCCACCAGGTTCCCACCCCACCCTCCGCCCCCTCCCCATCCCCCATTGTCCTCATCCATAGGTGCACAGTTTATGTTCAGTCTCTTCTTCCCTCCCTTTCCCCGATAGTAAATCCCTTTTCAGATAGTAAATCAGTTACTTAGCATTTTCTCATATCAATAATACCTCCACATGCCCAATGATACACTTCACACAAAAGACATTTCCCAATAGGTCAACTAGCCTCATCCAGGCCCCACCCAAGGCACTCACAGATCAACACCCCAGCCCTATACTAACTCAACACATCCAGATCTAAGCCTTCATCACTTGATTCAGCAGACCCTCAAGTTCCCGCGAAAGTTTCCCGCCATGTCTGAGAGGCAGCTGTGGGGCAGAGGCAGGCAAGGAGCGAGCTGTTCCGAGCCTGGCTGCTCAGGGCCTGGCCTCTGTTGCTTTGGTTCGTTCCACAACAAGCTGCTCCAGGTCTGGTCACTGCCGCTCCCGACCTAGTTGCTCTGGACTTGGCTGCTGCTGCTCCGGGCCTGGCTGCTCCCAGCCTGGCAGCCGCTGCTCCGGGCCTGGCCGCATCCGACCCGGCTGCTCCCCCGGGCCTGGCTGCTCCCAGCCTGGCAGCCGCTGCTCCAGGCCTGGCCGGACCCGACCCGGCTGCTCCCCCGGGCCTGGCCGCTCTCAGCCTGGCAGCCGCTGCTCCAGGCCTGGCCACTCCTGACCCGGCTGCTCCGGGCCTGGCCGCTCCAAGCCTGGCAGCCGCTGCTCCGGGCCTGGCCGCACCCGACCCAGCTGCTCCCCCGGGCCTTGCCGCTCCCAGCCTGTCAGCCGCTGCTCCGGGCCTGGCCGCACCCGACCCGGCTGCTCTGGGCCCGGCTGCCCCGGGCCCGGCCGCTCCGAGCCTGGCCACTCCCGGCCTGGATGCTCTGGGCTTGGCTACTGCTGTTCTGGGTCTGGCTGCTTCCACCCCGGCTGCTCTGGGCCCGGCTTCTCCGGGCCCGGCCACACCAGGTCTGGTTGTTCCTGGACTGGCCACCCTGGGCTTGACCGCCTCCGCCTCAGACCTGGCTGCCACTGCCCCAGGTCTGGCTGCTCCAGTGCTGGCTGTTGATGCTCTGGTTCTGGCTGCTGCTGCTCTGGGGCCTGGCCGTTGCTGCTCCGGACCTGGCTGCCACTGCCTTGTGCCTGGCCACTCTAGGCCTGGCCGCCACTGCTCCAACATTCTGTCCTTTTTTTTCTTTTTTAAAACGCATTTATGTTGCAATTTTGGCTGGTGAGTTGAGTTCTGACTTAGTCTTTGATTTTTCAAGAACTTTTTTGTATTCTTTCTTAAGTAATTTTACTATCTTTTGCTCTCACTTGATTTCTTCACATTGAGAACTTCTTTGGTTTCTTCCTCCCTGTCCTGGGAGCTCAGCAGGTTGGCCTGTGGCACCCCTTTGTTCTCCGCGGGCTCCTGTGCTGCTTTAGCCTGTTGCCGGGGACGGTGCCGCCCAGGAAGCAGCCCCTCGGCCTTGGCTCCATTGCCCGCGCTCAGCGGTGGAAGGCTCAGGGGCACCCCCCCCCCAGGGGCCCCGTTGCCCGGCTCCTTGCTGGTTCCCGGTTGGCCGGCGTCCGGCAGGGGCTCCTGCTCCCCGCCGTGTTCCCCCAGCCCGGAGCTTTTTTCTCCTTCTCGCTAGGGGAGTCCAGCATCAGAGTCAACAGACTGTCCTCTGCGTGCAGTGTGCGTGAGTCCGGGAGCCCGGCCTTTCGCCGCTCTCCCCGGACTCCACCTCACAGCCCCGTCTCCCTCTGCCTGAGTCTGGGTCCCCAGGGATTGGCCCAGAACTGGGGTTCGGAGCAGTCTGGACTGAGGCCCAGCGCCGCCGGAGGCCTTGTTTCTTCCGGCTAGGGTAACCCAGCATCAGAGTCAACATTCAGTCCTCTGCGCGCGCATTGCGCGCGACTCCGGGGGCCCTGCTTTTTGCCGCTTTTCCGCCTCACAGCCCCGTCTCCTCCTGCCGGAGCCTGGGTCCCCAGGGTTAGCCCCCCCTTTTAAAAAAATATATATTTTACTGATTTTTTTATAGAGAGGAAGGGACAGAAATAGAGAGCTAGAAACATCGATGAGAGAGAAACATCAACCAGCTGCCTCCTGCACCCCCCACCGCCACCCCACTGGGTATGTGCTCGCAACCACAGTACATGCCCTTGACCGGAATCGAACCTGGGACCTTTCAGTCTGCAGGCCAACGCTCTATCCACTGAGCCAAACCTGTTTCGGCAGCCCTTACCTTTCTTGAGAATGCTTCCTATTTGGGGAGGGTCCTGACCCTGACTGATTCGTATCCAGTTACAATGAAAGTGGCACGGTGTTGGCAGTGAAGCCAACTCCGTGGCTTATACTTTGGAGGCAAGAGGCAAGTATAGTGATGGAGAGTTCCCCTGCACAGGTGAATAAATGGGTCAGGGGAAACAAGCAATCTGCTCCAAGTGTAACACTCTGAATCCAGGGCATCATTTAAAGCAAGTTTGGCAAACAGGTTAGGACTCCTCTGCCATCTGGAATGTCTGGTAGCCTCTGCCTGGAGGGCTGTAGTGAGCAGCGGTACACAGCACAGCTAGTCCTGGGGTGCAGAAGTGGGGTGCCCAGGACCACTCAGCCCTTCCTGGGTCCAGCTGCTCTTGCCACGAGAGGCTACAGTATTTATTATACCTGGGATCCTGGGAAATGCCAAGAGGGGGGTTGAGGCTACTGGATGCTGTTTGTAAAGTGGAAATGATGCCTACCGGGCAGGCAGTTGGGAGGCACCTAGATGATTTGTGTAGGGTTCCTGGAAGGAATCCTGGCACATAGTAGGGCACAACAAGTGGTTATGGATTACCCACACTGGAAGCCATGCAACTGTATGCAGCCACCTAGCACTGTCAGGTCACAGGACGTTATGCTGCCGTAGTTCCATTCCTGGGGCTCAGGGATGCTGTCCACGCTAACAGCAGCAGCCTGTTACCCCAAGAGGAGGAACAGGAGAGGTGACAATAAGAGGCCCTTTTCCTCACAGGCGTGCAGCCCTCTTCAGACCGACTCAACACACTACCGGCGCTCAAGCCCAGTCTTCTGAGTAGCCCTCACCCCAGGCACTTCTGCCCAAGTGTCCAATCCAGAAGATAAAAGTTCTCTAGTGGCCTTTTTCACTAAGTCATAGCCATCTCCTTAAGAAGCCCATAAATCTTATGCAATAAAAGCTGCGAGGATTATGAAAGTGGATTTTTAAATTTATTTCCATACACAGGGTGGTGACTGGCTGCTGCAAAGAAACCTGAAGTGTATACTCTGGCCCAGAGCATCGCTTAGTCATCTGTCCACTCATTCTGTGTTCACCGAGCACTGCTGGTGTGCAAAGCCCTCCTCCGAGTCCTGGGCCATGCGCCAGGCATGATCCATGCCCGCTAATTGGGAGTAAAAAGAAAAAGGAATACTTCGGTTGTGATCTCCATCGTGAATGAGTCAGAGGAGATGCCCAGACAGATAGTAGCAGGAGAGACCCATTTCATAAAGATAATTGAATTCAATGTTTTGTTTTTTAGTCTTTGGTTGACCTTCTCATGAGATGGAAGCCCATGAAGGC